AATGAAGAGGGTTAAAAACAGTACCTTAAGGAGAAAGTAGTATCGCTAAGGGGAAACTAAAACGACCATAAGGCGAAATCATAGACAAAAGAGTTTCCCCTTAAGAGCCGAATAAAGGAAGTATATATACATATATATATATATATATATATAGTTATATATATATATATATATATATATATATAATTATATATTAAGTTTAGTCCACTCTGGATGAAACAGTACTCGATGCAATTTGATACAGAGCAGCTAATAATACAAAATAAATTAATGGACAATAGATACGGTAGCTCAATTCATTTCATTTTGTTTGAGACTACTGGCAGTTTCATGTGCGACATACAATCATCAGGTCTGTATGAACAAGGAGCTATCTTGCAAGTAGAATAGAATAGTTAAGGGCAACATGGACAAGTAGCTGTGTATCACTAAGGGGAAAATAAAACGACCATAAGGCGAAATCATAGACAAAAGAGTTTCCCCTTAAGAGCCGAATAAAGGAAGTATATATATATATATATATATATAATATAAAATTAATATGAGTTCGGATCCGTTGAGTTGATGGTTGTTGTAGGGTCAGTAGGGATGATGCGGTACCTTTTTGTAAGACATAGGTTGCATCAACATGCCGCCCCATAAATCAAAGTTCTTGCTTAAAAACCATTAATAGTCGCAATACACAGCTATTTGTCCATATACAGGTTACCCTTATGCAAATTCTTACAATTACAGTAGAACCCTATTAAGGGGACACCTTCAGGACCAAAAAAAGTGTCCCCTTTATAGGGGTGTCCCCTGAATAGGGGTACCTTATTCAGGGGACACTAACCAAAACGTGAAATTGTCCCCTTAATATGGGTTTTTGGCATGTTTTCAAATAACGATGACATACAATTCTTAATTTTATTATTAATGGCATAATTAGTTACAGTAGGCCTAGAATTATAACTAATTTATAACAATAATAATTTTCAAGGCAAATACAATTTATTTATAATATGAAATCAGCAGAAATGTAATTAAAACAACAGTTTTATATGTTCCAATATTGTTTCATGATGAATGAATTAAAAACCTATAAAAGTGCACGGAAAAAAAATCCCAATGGTTAAGGGTCACAATTGACACGATTGGTTTATACTAAGTAACACATGCAGTATGCCTTACCGATATTCTCTCCAAGGATTTCAAATTACAAATTTCAAAATTCAATTTTCATTTTCAATTAATTTCAATCTCAATTTATTCAGAAAACCTCCTGAACACAAAAGTAAAGTAGTAAAACAATAGAACAATTTCATTAAAAAGGGTAAGTTATTTATCATATACAAGAATAATTAAAAAAAAAAAAAAGCAAGAAAAATTGGACAAATTCTGAAAATACAAAATTTATTATTATTATTGTCGTTGTTGTTATATTATTACTATTACGTAGTCTAACAAAAGCTCGCCCTGACAAACAGCAATAGAAAGGTGATGAAAGTTCCTAAAGTTGCTCTAAAGTGTCAATATATAAAATTTAGTGAATTTTTCTTATTTTAAGACTGCTGTATTTGTTGTAATGCAATAGAAAAAAATAAGTGTCCCCTTATAGGCGTTATTTGACAATTTGACACACTCAGAAGGTGTCCCCGTCCCCTTAATAGGGGTGTCCTCTTAAAAGGGGTTGGCCGCAGTGTTAAAAAATATATATCTCCCCTCATTTCACAGAAAAGTGTCCCCCTTAATAGAGGTGTCCCCAGAATAGAGGTGTCCCCAGAATAGGGGTGTCCCAAAGGAGGGGTTCTACTGTATTCTATATCTGCAGGTTATGTAAATTCCCTTTATGCTAATCATGGACTTTAAATCTCTATATACGGTAGGCCTATGCAGCATAACAGCTTGTTCATATATTACAGACCTGATGATTGTGTGTAGCACATGAAACTGCCACAGTAGCCTCAAATAAAATGGATTGAATTGAGCTATCCATTGTACATTTATTTATTTCGTGTATA